TGATGTGTTTCCACACGCTACTCCTAATGGTTGCTGGATTCATTGTTTGTAGGAATCATTCAAACCACAGGCTTATGGGGCTATTTCCCACACCCTCAGTGTACACTTAGTCCGGTTAGCCATGCTTAGCCCGATCAAGAGACCAAACGAACATGTCTTCTTCCTGAATGAAAAAAGTCCTCCTTTTTGCTCAGATTAGGTTGAAATTCTACCGCTGCACCACCGAGAACATCCTTCGAAAAGGGGGGGGGGGGGGGGTTTAAAAGGCTTTGTTTAAAGGGGGGGAACACTCGTCCGCCTAAGAAAAGTTCCCAAAAAAATGCGCTGAAGGAGTCAGGATGGCCCTATCTGCTGCTCGATTAATTGTTTGTAGGAGCTTGATGAATATATTCACAAGGAATTTCTAAGCTTGAAAATATGGTCACCATACGAACTATTTTCATATGCGGATTAATCCACACTTGGTGCTTTAGTGAGTATCTGGGACAGCAGGATTTAGTATGTGGGGTTGAGTCAAAATGAACAACAGTGTGTATTTGTTCATGGTAACCTAGTCCAACATTGTGACTCATGGATATATTTTTAATAATTTAATAATAGAGCTTTGTGGCACAGAGGAGGAAGATATACCAGGCTTTGGATACACAGTTAGTAGGATACGTTCATTGTTGGTTTGGATCTTTTCCTGAGATATTTTGACAACAGAATATAGAATATCACCTTACTTATGTATTCACATTACTTTGCATTTAGCTTCTATCACCCTCCATACAGCTGTGTGTGCTAAAAGGCAGAATGAATGTTCTCTTAACTTCACACATAATTCTCTTAAAACTCAGTGTTTTCCTTTAAGAAGCAGCTCCTCAGGCAGTCCTCCCTCACTCCTTATCTCCATCTTCTCTTTGTGTGTGTGTCTCTCTCTCTCTTTTCCCCACCATTTGAACCCAGTCAGATTTATTAATATTAAAAAGGTGGGTCCTCAGGGCTTCCTCCCACAAACTCCATCCTTCTTCCTTCTTCCTCTGTCCCACTCTCTGTCTCTGTGTCCCTCACTTTTCTCTCCATTACTTAACCCTGCAAAGGTTAATTAATATCAATGTTCATAAGCCCTTGCAGCATCTTCTGTCTCCCCTGTCTGTATTTGGCATTGATGCTCAAGCCGATGGGCTTTGGTCATCGATCCTTAACTGTGGTCCTAGATCGCTGTGTGAGACACAGTCACTGATGGCTGATTCAGAGCTTTGCAGAAAAAAGACGGGCTGCATCAAATTCTGACAGATTCAGAACTGCGGGACAAAAATCTCACAATGTGACTGTTGCTACAACCCACACTGAATCAACCAATCAGAATATACAGTGCAAGCCAGTATCCCTAGGTGTTACATGAATGATTCCACATTTCTCACGATTTAAGTCCAGTGAAAAGTATGTCTAGTGAACAGTGTCAGTGTATAATTCCCTTTAAGCAATACCAGCCCATGTTGCACCCTGTGTCCCTCCACCTTGCAAAAAGACTGAAAGGAATTGACAAAAGAACTGTGAAGTAAAAATAAAAAGAATGAGACTGATAAACATTTGGTGCATCCACTGTGATGTGTGAAAACTCATTGTGAACATTTCAGTTCTTCTATTGATGAGCCCAGTAGTCTCATTTGCACAAGACATGTCTTTAATGTCATTATGATGGTCTTTTGTGCCCAGGTTTAACTCAGTACTTGTGAATTATTGCAAAAATATTGTGAATCTTTGAAAAGATGATGATTCTATAGGTGCAGCAGCCAATTTAAATGAACCAATTCATCAATGTATTGTTGTTATTTCTATCCAACACTGTAGTTAAACATTAAGTAAAGGAAAATAGGTTTTATACTTAATGAACCCTTAAATGAATGGGTAGAGATATCAGATATCCAACCAATACGTTATAAGTGAGGCAAGAATTCCTCAGATTGAGTCAAATTGTCACTTTGTGTAATCCAAGACTTTGCACATTGCAAAAACAAAATTCTGGTGAAAGGGTTGACTCATAGCATAGCATGGAATGATGCAGAACACACAGGCAAATGTAACATCATATGCAGCATTTTAAGATAAAGTGTAATTTCCAAAGCTTGTTTTTTGTTTTGCTTAATTTTCTAAACCTGAAAGCAGTGCTGAAGGACGAGGCAAGCTGATGATGGTTTGATCCACAGTACCCTAACCCAGGAGACTACTGTTCATGTCCTGTGTTAAATATCTTACTTAAGTTATGTCAGATATGTAACATAACAGGTATCTAATCATATAGTTTTTGTGACTAATCCTCAAAAAAGCTTTTCACTACATTAAACATGCAAGCATTATTTTCATATCAGACATCATACAGTCTGTCACAGATTGTAACCAACATTTTGTTAGACCTATCTTGCACACTGTGACATGTAATGAACCTTCAAGATTGCCGTTATTGCATACAGTGGAGGGGCCTTTAGGGTAAGCCTTTTATACGTATGCAGGTTTAGTCACACATTTCATATTTTAAGATATATATGTTAAGCCATTTTTAGCCCCATTTTTAGTTTGTTTCTACACACCTACGTGCACTTTTCTGACATACAGTCTCTGTCTGTCTCACACTCAGACCTACGTACACACACTGAGCGAGTGATATAACAGTGTGTTGACATGCGGCTGTGTGCCAAGCAGGGGTCAGGATTGCACTCTGCAGGTCAGGGCTGCCACATCTGTCACTTTACTCCACCACTGAATACTGCCAGAGAGAGAATGGATGTTACAAGAGAATGAGAGAGAGATGGAGATAAAGAGAGAGAAAGTAAGAGGAAGCGATGGAAGGATGGAGTAAAAAAGGTAGAGCAGAAGGCTGTGGTTGTTCCAGGCAGCTCCCAGGTGTGAATCAGTATGTGTGAATATGAAAAAAGCACACAGCTGGAAAAGAGCCTCCTGTGCATTTGAAAAAAATCATCCGAAATAAGTTCACATCCATCAAGCATTTAAACATGGTTCCCATTCAGCTGAGGCTTAGCTGAGCACACTGATGAGTTTTTTGATCATAATGACAGCTGTTTTACACTCAGAGTTGTCATTAATCTCGTCCCTGACAAGCATTATGACATTTTAGCTAGTGATAAGCCCTCTCATCTGAGTGTCTGTGTGTCTGTATGTGTTTGCAGGGGCTTGTTTTACTACATTTGTGAGGTCAAATCGCTGGGAGCCCACTATACTTGTGGGGACCTGAACTGAACCTCACAAGTTTAAAGGGCTGTTTGAGGGTGAGGAGACTTGGTTTTAGGGTTATGGTTAGTTGTGATGGTAAAGGTTAGGGTAGGGGCTAGGGACAAGGCTGTGTGTGTGTGTGTGTATGTGAGAGAAAGAGAGAGACAGAGAGAGAGAGAGAGAGAGGGAGAGAGAATGCCTCTGCCTTCCTGTACATTGCAGTGTCATGTCATAAAACGCACATCTGGCGGGCTTTAGGTCAGCTATCAGCCCAACGTTCTCGCCCAATCCCATCTCAGATCCACTGCCGCAGGACAGAAGACCTCAGTAATCACATTATGGCACAGGATCAACTGTTGGTAGAGAGCGAGCCTGCAGCGGCTGATCCGAAACAGATTGGATGTGCTTGTACTGTTGTACTGTAGACTCGTGTATCATAACTTATAGATCCATGTATCACAGAATTAAAACATATGTTGTGGTTAAAGCCAACAGCTGTACAGTAAAAATAAGTTTCACTGTGTCTCTGAAGTGTACATTGTACTGCTTGTCTTATTTTCATTGCTTCTACATTGATGTCAAATTCAGAGATGCAATTTTATAGATAGATAACTTTATTAATCCCACAATGGGGAAATTCACTTGTCACAGCAACATTTGAGTGAAATAAATACAGATATAAAAAACAGGAACATTTGCGTACAGCAGGTCCAAGGTCTTATTGTCTCTGGTGGTGCATGTGACAAACTGGTGGAAGGTGGGAGTGTGGACGAGAGAGAAACATGGTTGAAGTCCCCTGTGATGATGATGAAGGCCCCTGTGGTGATGATGATGAAGGCCTCCGGGTGTTTCGTTTGTAGTCCTGCAGTCACAGTGTGGATGACGTCACACGCTGCTTCTGCTTTCCCAGGCGGAGAAATATAGACAGTGATGGAGATAACACTGGAAAGTTCCTATGGCAGATAACATGGATGAAGTGAAGCTTATCAGAACTCTGTAGCCCGCTCCTCACCTCTGCTTGAAGTTAGCTGCTACTAGCATAACACACCCTGTCGGTACCCTACTGCTCATGTGCAACTCTCAACAGAGATGAGGAAACAAAATGGTTCACTTATTTTCCAGTTCCATCATCAGCTCCGGAAAGAAACAATGTGTTTAATTCAGAATGTTATTGATTGAATTTTTTTTTCAAGTTTTCATTGTCTTCTGGATGCAGTCTTATGATCACATCTATAAGAATGAATGAGACCTACAGATCAGAGGAGTCATGAGAGGATGGGGGATATATTGCAGAGAATGTATTATTTTCTCCTATTCTTCCCTAATTTTTTGTTTTATTCTTGTTAAATACTGAATACATTCACCTCCTCTGGCCTCTATGAAGCCTTTAAATGAGACAAATCCATGACCACACTGAGGTCATGGCTTCATTTAAAGGTCTGGAGCCACTGCTGTAGATTATAAGCAATAAAAACTAGTGGGAGAACTTTCAGACAGACTTTAATAAAGTCAGTTTCTCTACCTTAGTTACTCTGGCAGATAATAACCTGGAGACTTTAATGAAAACTCTTTTTTTAGTCAGATTTTAATGAAGCCATATGTAAATTCAAATCTCCCTAAACTCCCTATTTCTCCCATCCCATCATAATGAAGCTCATCTGCTCACTTTCTCCCTGTTTTTATGGTTTGATCTTGTGGAGTACTGGAGAACACACTCACTAATTACTGCTACTCTGTCTTCTTCTCCCTCGCTCTCTCCTCACCTCCCATCCCCCACCCACCACCAGTCCCATCCTTCTGGGGTCTGGTGCACTCAGCCTGGAACCTGTGCGCCATAGGGAAGAGGCAGTCCCCCATTGACATCGAGACCAGTCACATGATCTTTGACCCCTACCTGACCCCTCTGAGGCTCAACACAGGAGGACGCAAGGTAAGGGCTTCGATGACCTGACATCTGTCTTTGGACAAAAAAAAATTCTGAACACATCCTCAGGGGCTCGAACCTCGACACTGACCGGCTGACGACAGAGCTCATCAAACGTTCCCATACAAGAAGGACTCTGACAGCACTGGGCTTTAATTCATCACAGTGGCTGAGAACAGGACAGGACACATTCTCTTAATCAAGACGCAGAGAAACTTCTGTCTGACAGAGACTAGCTTTTCATCCGTATCCAAATGCTTTAACATTCCCAGCTGCATTTGACTGCACTAGGCTCAGGAAGCGTTACAATTTTAGCCCTTTACACAGCAATCATAGTTAATCTTTACAGAAAAAAATCCTCTCTAAAGCATCCAGGGTCACAGTTAAAACACAGCTTTTGGTGATGTTGTACATTCCAGTCTGGATTAATTTTGGTACTTATTAGTGTATCTTAGTTATTGGCCATATTTAGATGAAATGATGTCACGCTGAGGTATTTTCAGCCCAAGGGAAGGAAAACTGGCTACAGCTGAAAAAGCACTGATCACAAGTATAAGGTCCACTTTATCTGGGATCTGAGTGGTTTTAGATATTAAGAATAAAAGTTTACACATCCTATATAGAAAATCTGTTATGCAGTGACGTTAAACAACATATTAAAGGTACAGTGTGCAACATTTAGGAGGATCTATTAGCAGAAATTGAATATAATATTCATAGGTATGGTTTCATTAGTGTGTAATCACCTGAATATAAGAGTTTTAGTTGCCCTTAGAATCAGCCATCTACAGATGCTGCAGGCTGTCTTCTGCGAAGGCCGCCATGTTGAACTGCAATGTTTCTACAGTAGCTCAGAATGGACAAACCAAAAACCAATTAGCTTATTTTGCTTGTTTCACTGGCACCATTGTTTTTCTGTTTTGTGAAAGGTGAAACGAGTGAATCACAATCTGCTACTACACCACTATATGCCACTAAATCCTACACACTGGTCCTTTGAGTACCCTTAATATACTGTATACATTTGGGTTTGGTTTCATAGATTGAGTTCACATTGAACCTTCAGTGCTTTCTGTGGAGTTAGAGGGTTCAGTCTGCCAGGGCAGAATGAAAAGTAAGCTTTTGTTGCTGGTTTAATACACAAACTCAAATTGTGTATTACTGAAGGAAGTCTTTTTCCTAAACTACTTTTTCATTCCCTAGCAATATATTTGGCATTCCCTCTGATTCATAGAGAAAGGCTGAGCTTTGAGACATCATGGATTTCTAATGTAATATTATTACAGCTGCCTCTCTGAAGGACTGTTTACAAGCCGTTCCTATGGATCAGGGGGAATGCAAAAAGTATTGCAAAGGTAATGCAAGGTAAAGATTCTTACTAACAGATTTGAGCTGAGATTTTTGCAAAAAATGCAAACTCCATCTCTACTTTTTGGCCTGAAGCTTAGGTCAACATTGTCAGTGTCTGAACTCTGAATGTAGTCTCTAGCTGTGTTTCCATCAGCATATTTAGATGCCAATTTTTAAGTACCACAATAGAAAAGGTTGATGGAAAGAAAAACAAACAGAAATGTCGTATTTCCATCCTGTTTTCTACATAGTTTTTCATGGTTTAAGGTTCAACCAACACACTTTTAATTAGTCAAAAAGAATACACATCAGCTTTGCACCAGATTCAAACAAGTGTAAAATAACTCTCAACTTAGCTGTTGTAACAGTACTATTTAGGTTTCAAAACATAAAATTGAGTGACATAATCCTTCAACCTCAATCAGAGAGCAGTGCGTTGAAACTTTTCTTCCTTTTTAAATTCTGAGGATTTATTGGAGCTTTATAGTTAAAATGTAAACTTTCACAAAATGTGCCTAATACATTTTTCACAAAGTTGACAGAATCCAAGGGTCACATGTTTGTATTAAACATTCCAAATTTTGCTATGGCTCTTCTGTCTACAGTATAGAATCTCCGGCACAGTGTTACCTACAAAAATGCCACAGGTGTTAAAGTCCATTATATCTAATGATCCATCCTGAAAAGGAGCTAGACTTCAAACTGAAGGTACATTTTTATCATAATAACATCTCTACCTTTGATTCAGAAGAAAATATGAGTCATAAATCATTATTTCACATCTTGTCTCTATCAAAATTTGATCACGGCAGTTTGCTTTGATCTTGGAGAAGAACAATATGCCGTTCTGCTATTACATTTTAATATTCCCTTAAGAGATTTCCAAAATCCAGATGCACCTTTCTCTCAAAATAGATTTAAGGTTGGCGTGAGATTGAGACAATAAAAATTATAAGTGTTTCATAACTGTCCAGAAACAGTTGAATGCTTGAATACTGACTGCCATCTGAAAGCTTTTTTGCTTCAGATCTCCACCAGTGTCAACCCCTGAGGGTTTAAGACACAGAGTCTTATTTGTAAACTGAATAAAAATGCATTTTCTCTATGGAGTCCCGAAACTGACAAAGTGTAGTAAAAGATTATCAGTGAAGCCCAGAATATAAATAAACACTAATAAAAAATATTGTTTGCTTAATAATTAAATGGAGTGTAAAAATAAATATAACATTTAATAAAAGAGCCTGGAAGGTGTCATGGAGAAAAACAACTAATTTAATATGTGTGCACAAGTGAATAATTCATGCTCTGGATTAATTTATCACCTTCCCGCCATTAGTCTTGTCTTGTGCATACCCTTCATACTCTGGCTATGGATCACTTTGATTTAATACAGTTTTATTTTCAACTTGGACTTAAACATGTGGACTTATTTCTGTCTCTGGCTGTTAAACCCAACCTTGTGTTATCTTTATGATCCCTTTAATGTATCTTACAGGATAATGCACCATTCTTACATAAAAACTTTGATAATAGATGACCATTTCCCCTGCCACATTTCCCATTTAACTACATGACAATAATGAAATGGGTGTGTCTATGCATGTCCAGAGCAATAAGAATAACACAAATGAATTATATTCAATTAAATTAAATGCCAACTAATTGAGCATAGGTAGTTCAGGCAGGGCAAGTCAGGCAGCTTCAGTTACAGCTATATCATACGACACAGCAGTCATAAACATACATCAGCTGATCCCTAAGCCCCATTGGATACCATGCACAGTCAGCGACAGCCACCTGATTTCCCAAGCATCCAATTGGCAACATCACATGGCGCCTATTTAAGCTGCTTTAGCCTGCCGCCATCCGCGCCCTCTACAAGCCTTTGCCAGGATGTGGTGCGTACTGTGGTTTGTCGTTTGTTTCTACTTGTCCTGTCTGCGGTGAGTATGATGGCGGGTCGATGCATTGGAAGTCCAGCAGCGATCTCGGCTGTTGGGGGAGTGTCGCTTTGAACAACATCCGCAGTTCTGTCAGGCTGCTCGGTTCTGCGGGGTCTGCAGAAGGGGGAGGATTGCCCGCGGCCCGCCGGCCGGCCCGGCGCGCGCGCGCGCTTTCAGGGGGCCGGGTCCGGCGCAGCGGCCGGCTCCACCTGTCTTGCTTGTCAGCTCTGTCCAACATCCGGTTGTCGCTCCGTCATGGGTTCAAGGGTCCATTCATAAATCGCCTTCTCAACAAGCATTAAGGTATAGCTACCAGGGATATTCAGGGAAAAAAAAAAAAAAAAAAACATTAATTGATCTGCCTGCAAACAAAACTAAGGCATAAAAGTTTAACCCCTCAGACCCGGTCCATTACAATGGACGTCACTTGACAGGGGCTTCTTTTACTTTTTGCAACATTTAACAGACAAAAATAGGTATGATGTTGTCATATGATGTTGGTATTTTAAGAATTGTTTGGACCCGATGTCCATTGAAATGGACAAGAAAATAACAATTAAAGGGTTTTGATTAAAAAAAAAAAATAAATAAAAAAAAAAAAAAAGTCTTATGATCCATTTCGGTGCAAAAGGATGGGAAAAAAAAGCATTATTATATTTTCACACTCGGAACATAAGGCGGGTCTGAAGGGGCTACATCCTCTGGCACTTTTCCTTATTTTATGCTATAATCTACAATGCCATCAGTTGATTAAGGAAGCATGTGAGGCGCATGGCTAGCCAAGGCAGATGTCACAGATGCATTTAAGTCATGCATTACACCTTCACATTGGCATCTGTTTGGTTTAAATGAAGAGAAATGTACTTCCAGTTAGGCTCACCTTGGTTGTTACAGCAGCCCCACATATTTGATACCTATCAGAGGCTCTCGCTGGATTCTTTAAATAACTGCAACTGCTTTCGGCTCCATCTGTAGACGATTTTCTGTTAGTTGACTCTCAATTCAAAACAGACCATGCATTTTGCTCTTAAATATACCTTTAAACATTAGGTCTTCTGCTAGCCAAGGAGAAACATCAGGCCCTGTAAGGCTAGAGTCTAGGCTTCACTCTAGATAGTGTACTGATGAAAAATTGCATCAGAGAGGTAATGAAAGCAGCAGGCAGTAGTAATTTTCAAAGGAACTGCTCTCCTTGCTTGGACATCTTAAATTGGCATGTGTGTTATTCCCCAGGGAAGTTCCCCTATATCCAGGCTTCGGACCTCTCCGATTTATAGAGAACCCAGATATGGTGAGCTTGGAGAAGGGCGCAGATCCGAGCCCCAGTCCTGATCTCTTCTGTGGATAATGGTATGGCATCTCCTTCTTTACAATGAGCAGCTAAAATCATCATTTGCCATTAATTATAAAAGGCGCAGCATATTGAGTACATATAAATGAATCGAACACTGTGTGCCAGTTCACCTGGAAGCTTTATGTCAACAGCAAGGTCTAATAGTGTGACTGCTATGATCTACTAGATCACTAATGAACAGCTTGCTGAGCTTAGAAGACAGAACAGACAAGGGGCATTTAGGGAAGAGCAATGGATCCTCAAGTTTTCGGTGTTGGGTACAGAAATAATGGAGATATAATTCATTCAAACATACAGTAGTAGTGGCATGATTGACCTGTATGATAACCACCCTTCCGTAGGTTTGGGGGGTATTTTAA